GCAGTGTGTGTGTCCCCTTCCCCTCCCCCGCACCCCCCTCCCTCCCCTGCACTCACACACACACACTCACTCACTGCAGAGCAGCACAGGACAATAGGAATCACAGCATAAGAAAGGACAGGGGAGAGCGCAGTGCTTAGTCAACCCTGGCAGTTGACTGTAAGCACCACATGCTGGGGGCAGGGAGCAAGAGACTTTGCACTCCTCCTACCCCAACGTTAGTCAGGGGAGAAGCGTGCAAATCTCCTCCACCTCTACAAGGGGCTGCTGCTCATCTGGTGGGTGACTTAAGTGCAGTGCTCTCTTGCAGGGAGGGGGCAGACTTTGCATGCTCTCCTCTCCCCCAGCCCTGATTGACCTCGGGGCAGCGGCGGGAGCACGCAAAGTCTCCTCCCATCACAAGGGCTGTGGGCACCTAGAGGGAACCTCCAGCTGTTCAGAACGGGGGGGGGGGGGGGGAAGGGGGCAAAGACTTCACGTGCTCCCCTACCTCCAGACCAATCAAGGTCTGTGGCAGGGAAGCACAGCAGTGTTCTGGCCCCTCCCCTTCTACCTGAGGTCCTGTCCCTTCCAGAGCCGCCAGGGATCACTTCAATAATTTCTGAAGTGGTCCCTGGTCAAAAATTATTGCCTACCCCTGCTCTAGATTGTAGTCACCCCGGACTGGAGATCCAGAGTAAAGATGTGAGCTATCATCTGCTCTGTTTTATGCAAATTACCTGTCATCTTTGGATTACAGGCAAATGGCCAAATCTGGAAAAAATGAGGCCACTCCAAACTCAGTCTGAGATAAATAGGGCTGAGTTTCACTTTCATCACTGTGACATCTGATCTGTATAACAGGAACAAATTTTAAAGTCCCACAGAATACCAAAGCAACTTTTATAAACTTTTTAACTGAAAAGGATTACACTATGAAAATGAGCTAATGTAAACAGAATGAGGAGTGAATTACCTGTGCTGTTACAATATCACCACTCAACAATTAACTGTTCCAAGCTAAAAATCAAACTGTGTGTGTGTGTGTGTGTGTGTGTGTGTGTGTGTACTGTTCCAAGCTAAAAATCAAACTCTGTGTGTGTGAGAAAATATATAAAAAAAACTAAGCTGCTCTCACTGAGTTGAGATCCTGTAGTTAGTGACGCTGTCAAAAAGCCTTGAAGGAGTATGTCATTCAACTAGTACCATGCACACTTAAATGTTCCGATAGATAGAGGAGCCTGTACTGCAACATATGTGCATACTTTTCTGAACTTACATGTATGTATGCAGGCTTGTTTATACTATACCTATACACCAATGTGTCTCAAAATACACCAGATACAGATAAAGCTTCATTTCCATGCACATTCAAACCATGATAAGTATCAAGGCCTACCCAAAATCTGTATGTTTGTATGTTCAAGCAAGCTCAGCTTCTCTGTGGGCACCTAGACGGAAGCCCAATTTTCAAGAGAGCTTCTAACCCGGCTTACCAAGTTTATTTGGAAATCTGTCTACTTACTTTGGTGCCTAGATGGGAGATGAGCTCTTTTGGAAAGTTTGGCCCTTAATGTTTGATCCTAAAATACACTGAATATCTAACACCTCATGTCATCCTGAAGCTTTGAGTGATTAGTGCCACCCAGGAGCTAAATACTGGATGAGAATTCCAAGAGACACAATACAAAGTTCAACAAGTGACACAATACAAGCAATACTGGCACTTAGAACTGGAACTTGTGCAAGGGTATGGATCAATGATACTGGCAACTGTTTAGCCACATTCAGTGTGCTACAGCTTGGCGTTCTGTTTAGAAGCACTGTCACAAAGGATGATAATCACACCTAGATGATGGAAATAAAGCCTTTAAATAGGACAGATTATAAACTAATCTTGCAATCAAACTGTTCCTGTCCCTGTTATGGTGCATTTAAATCAGGGGTGGGCAATAATTTGTGAAGGGGGGCCACTTAATGAATTTTGGAAGTGGTCACGGGCCTCCCCCAAAGGGGCAGGTCCTTGGGTAAAAAGGTTCCCTTTAAGTGCAGCCCACCCCTGGCGGGGGGAGGATACTTTGCATGCTCCCCTGTCTCCAGACTGATTGGCCTGGAGGTGAGGGAGCACATGAAGTCTTTGCTCCCTACCTCCACCCTGGCAGGGGCACATGGCACCTAAATAGTACTGCCAGTTGTTTTTTTACAGCTGGCAGTTCCCTTTAGGCACTGTGTGCCCCAGCAGGTGGAGGAGACTTTGCTTACTTCCTCAGCCCCATGTACAGTTGAGATTGAAAGGGGAAGTGGCCATGAGACACTCCAGTAGGGAATTCCATCTATGAAGAAGTTTCAAGGCTCTTGCACTAAATTGTTTAGCAGTTAACTATGCACTGTAGTTTATATATGAATTCTGAAGTCATTATTTTCTTCTTTCAATTTAGGATGAAGGAATGAAAGCAGAAATACTTAGACTCCATAAGAAATTGTCTGAGCAGGAGAAGAAGCTACATAGTACTGTTAAACGCTTGCACTCTACAAACCAGCTGAAGGAAAACATGGAGAAAGTCATCATTGATCAATGTCAGTGAATGGTCTATGATTAATTCCTCAGTTTCTTCTATTTTATTTATGTAGAGGAAATGAAATGAACAAAAACTGTTTTTAGTGTGAAACTTCTGGTATTGAAGTGCTGTTTAATAGCTAGTGTTAAATATTTCCTGGGAATCCAAAGGATATGCTATATAAAGCTTGGTGCTTTGTTCAATAAGGAGGAAATTTATCCCAATGCATAAGGCAGGCCAGCACACTGTGGATATGGTACATGGAGCTAACTTAAGTGTTGTGTAGGGATTTGTGCAGGCCTATTGTAATGGAGTGAAATTTCATCCATAACCCATTGTTGTATAAGCCTCATTGTCAAAAAAAAAACCCTGTTATTTCATTTAATGTACCAGTTTCCTATCTTGTGAGAATTGTCTATAAAGGAAAAGCAATGTTTTTCCCTATTTCTGTCGTCATTTCCCTCTCCAAATAATGAGCCAACCCCCCCAGTCTTAGTAAATCTAGAATTACCAAGTTTTCTGGCGTGTTTACATCTTGCAAACTGTCACAGTAATTGGGAATATAGTTGTTGGTCAAAGAAAGGTGCCAGAGCAACAGAATTGCCCATGTGGAGCATCATGGGAAGATAAGTCAACTTTCTGGACTGTATTGGAGGATTGCAAGCAAAGAAAGAGGACCCATTAGCATGAGAATGTAGTCCTTACTACTAAACATGGCAGTTCTGATAGGAAAAACTAGAATGGGCTGTAAAATTAAATTTCATTCTTAATGGCCGTGGCCAGACAGTTAACAGTGGGTGATTTCATTCATATTTCTTATAAGGTAGCTTCTGAAAAATTGTCATAACTGCATATTTTATAGTTGTATCAAAGACTAAACACAGTCTAGTCCCAAGACAAAATCACAATAGTCAGGATCCTTCAATATTACACAAGTACAGCCACCAAGTCAAACATTCAAAACCAGGAAATGTGTGGGTATGGCTGATTCACTACAACACAACTAAACACTTATATCAAGCACACCCTTTAACTCATGTGCACCATCTACCATCCAAACTAACCTCCACTTCACCACTGTTAATTCTGACCTATGGTGACACTGGCTTACAGTCTTCAGTATTTAGTTTGTTTTGTGCCTGCTATTTCCCCACCAGCTCTGTCCCCCACCTCAATTAATTGGCAGTAACAAGGTTTCAAGGGAAGCTGGCAGTCCTACTTGTGTCTCTTCTTGGACAGTAGGGTGGCTCCTACATCCTGCCACTTGTTCTTTAAGCCCCACTCTCCGCAACTTACTAAATGAGTCTCTTTTGACCTCTCATTGATTAACAATCAGGTAGTAGGGAAGGAAGCTGAGAAGCAGACTTTTGGCTTAAGGAAATTGTAGTTCCCACATGCATACACTAATGCATTTGATAAAGCTAAAAAGTGTACAAAAAATTTACCTTTACAACAATTTCACTGGATACTTTTAGTGCAAAAATTAAAGCAAATAGGTTTAGATGTTACCCACCAATGATCTGATTGGTGTGGAGCCCATCTTGTGCCAAGATTGCAGTTTTCATCCAAGCCATTTTTCTAAAAGGAACTAAACTGAGATGATAGATCAGCATAGGGATGTTAAGTAGTCGATGGAATTTCCATTCACTATTCAATTAGTCAGTAAGAGGGTTAGCTCTAGAGGACAGCACAAGCCAGGACTGAGCAGTCCCAGCTTGCAATGGATCCCAGACTGCTGCAGCTCTGATTTTTTCAAATGTAAGAGCTTCTCTTTTGAGTAATTAAGCTAGAATTTAAAATGTTAAATAGTATCACCTAACTGTACAAAATGACCTTTCACAAATGCCATGTGCTACTCAAATCATTGAAATGAACCGCAAACTTTTATCCTGTAGCTCAGTATTTATAAGTTAGAATCTTAGGGCTGGAAGAGATCTCAGGAAGTCAGAGTCCAGGCTCCTGCCCAAAGCAGAAACCAACCCCAACTAAATCATCCCAGCCAGGGCTTTGTCAAGTCAAGACTTAAAAACCTCTAGGGACAGAGATTCCATCCCCTCCCTACATAACCCATTTCAGTATTTCACCACCCTCCTAGTGAAATAGTTTTCCCTAATATCCAACCTAGAACTCCCCCACTGTAACTTGAGACCATTGCTCCTTGTTCTGCCATCCATCACTACTGAGAACAGCCTCTCTCCATCCTCTTTGGAACCTCCCTTCAGGAAGTTAAAGGCTGCTATCAAATCCCCTCTCACTCTTCTCTTCTGCAGACTAAATAAGCCCAAATCCCTCAGCCTCGTCTCGTAGGTCAAGTGCTCCAGCCACCTAATCATTTTGATTGCCCTCCGTTGGACCCTCTCCAATGCATCTACCACCTTTCTGTAATGGGGGGCCCAGAATTGGACACAATATTCCAGATGTGGCCTCACTAGTGCCAAATATAGGGGAATAATTACTTCTCTACGTCTGCAGGCAATGCTCCTCCTAATGCACTCTAATGTGCCGTTAGCCTTCTTGGCTACAAGGGCACACTGTTGACTCATATCCAGTTTTTCATTCACTGTAATCCCCAGGTCCTTTTCTGCTGAACTGCTACCTAGCCATTCGGTCCCCAGCCTGTAACAGTGCTTGGGATTCTTCCGTCCCAAGTGCAGAATTTGACCTTGTTGAACCTCATCAGATTTCTTTTGGCCCAGTCCTCTAATCTGTCTAGCTTACTCTGGATTCTATCCCTGCCATCCAATGTATCTACCTCCCTCTCTAGATTAGTGTCATCCACAAATTTGCTGAGGGTGTAATATATCCTCTCATCTAGGTCATTAATGAAGATGTGGAATAAAACTGGCCCTAGAATCAATCCTTGGGGCACTCCACTTGAAACTGACCACCAACCAGACATCGAACCGTTGATCACTACACATTGAGCCCGACAATCTAGCCAGCTTTCTATCCATCTTACAGTCCATTTATCCAGTCCATACTTCCTTAACTTGCTGGCAAGAATATTGTAGGAGACCATATCAAAAGCTTTGCTAAAGTCAAGTTATATCACATCCACTGAATTCCCCATGTCCACAGAACCAGTTCCCTCGTCATAAAATCTAATCATATTGGTCAGGCATGATGTGCCCTTGGTGAATCCATGTTGACTATTCCTGATCACTTTCCACTCTTCCAAGTGCTTCAAAATGGTTTCCTTAAGGATCCCTTCCATGATTTTTCCAGGGACTGAGGTAAGGCTGACCGATCTATAGTTCCGTGGATTGTCTTTCTTCCCTTTCTTAAAGATGGGCACTACATTTGCCTTTTTCCAATCATCCGGGATCCCTCCCGATCAACACTAGTTTTCAGAGATAATGGCCAAAGGCTCTGCAATGACATTTGCCAACTCCCTCAGTACCCTCAGATGCATTAAATCTGAACCCATGGATTTGTGTGTGTGTTTAGCTTTTCTAAATAGTTCTTAACCTGTTTTTTCTCAACCGATGGCTGCCCACCTCCTTCCCATGCTGCGTTGCCTAGTACAGTAGTCTGGGAGCTGACCTTGTCTGTGAAGACAGGAAAAAAAGCATTGAGTGCTTCAGTTTTTCTCACATCATCTGTCACTATGTTACCTCCCTCATCCATAAGGGCCCCACACCCTCTCTGATAACCCTCTTATTGCTAACATACCTGTAGAAACCTTTCTTGTTACCCTTTTCATCCCTTGCTAGCTGCAATTCCATTGTTCTTTCACTTTCCTGATTACCCCCTGCATTCTCAAGCAATATATTTATACTCCTCCCTAGTGATCTGTCCAAGTTTCTTCTACTCATAAGATTTCTTTTTGTCTTTAAATTCACCAAGGATTTCTCCGGTAAGCCAAATCTGGTTGCCTACCATATTTGCTTTTCTTACTGCACATCAGGATGGTTTGTTCCTGTGCCTTCAATAAGTCTTCTTTAAAATATTGCCAGCTCTCCTGGACTCCTTTCCCCTTCATGTTAGCATCCTAGAGAATCCTGCCCATCAGTTCTCTGAGGGAGTCAAAGTCTGCTTTTCTGAAGTCCAGGGTGTGCATTTTGATGCTCTCCTTTCTTCCTTTGGTTGCCACCGACATCTGCTTCCCCTACTAGTTCTTTCCTGTTTGTGAGGAGCAAGTCAAGCTGCACATGTCCCCTGGTTGGTTCCTTCAGTGCCTGTACCAGGAAGTTATCCCCTACATTCTCCAAAAACTTCCTGGATTGTCTGTGTACTGCTGTGTTGGTCTCCCAGCAGATGTCAGGGTGATTAAAGTCCCCCATGGGAACTAGTGCCTTGATCTAGAAGCTTCTCTGAAGGCCCTCCTGGAATAAAGCACTCCCAAGTCACACTTTTCAAAGTGCCACTCTTTTCAAACCGTCAAACACACAGTCAAACAAATACTCACAGATAGACAAACACTTGGATACTCACCCCACCAGCTCACAACACATCCCCCCCCAAAAGCCACACTTACCTGAGCTCCTCTCAGATGTTTCCCAGGCAGACTACCCTGTTAGCTGCTGCCTGTTCACTACATGTGTTGTGTTTACACTAGTCTTTTTCAAAAGACTATTGTAACAAATGACATTACAATTGGTTTTAGTTCATCCAAATTTCTGTTTTGTTCAATTTTTGGAAGTCAAATAACTCAATTTATTCTTTTAAAAAATAATTCTAGAGTTATTTTATTTTGTCTGCTTAAAAAATGACCTAGGGATGCAGTCTGTCTTTTCCAGGATGACAGTTCCTGTGTTCTGAGAACTTACATGCTGTGTAGATCTCTGCTAGTTCTGAGGGTGTAAAACTGTGCATATTTAGGGCTAATCCCACTCTCTTCACTCCTCCTCCCCAAAAAACAACCACCAAAAAACCACATTCAAACAGTTCACACCCCATTGTGAACTAGATCCTGATAAAATGAAGCCATCATATTCTAAAATATCCTGATACAAAATGCTACCTGGCTAGTAGCAGCTTCACTATTAGTTTCATATACTCTAAATTCTATCCATGTATGGAATTTAATATTTTTATTTGAAAAAAAACCTAGTTTTGTCAGGTAAAATGAATTTACTAACAGTGTTCTTTATGAGTGGAAATCACTATGTCTTTTAGACTATATCATTACTATAAAAGGGATGTGTGGCAGGGGGGAGAGGGGTGCCTTCACTGAGATAACCACGTCAATGTAAAATCCTAGGTAAGGCAAGGGACAGGTTTTTTTTACTTTAATGTACCCAGCCGAGGTAAAGCCAAGGTAAGAGGGTCTGACATTGACCTTGTCTAGCAAAATCAAAGTAAAACCTCCCTTTTGCTTTGTCTTCTTCACTAGAGTTTTACATTGAGATGACAGCTATCTTGAGTAAACAATCTCAATGTAAAACACCTTTTTTTTTTTTGAATGAACTCCAAGCTTTACTTATGTTGATCTTCTATGAATAGGAAGATACTAATTCAGGGTATGTCTACGCTACCCTCCTAGTTCGAACTAGGAGGGTAGTGTAGACATACCCAGAGACCTTGATACAATTTTCTGTACGTTTCATTGATTATGGGAATTACGGATGTCAACTTACCATTGGCTTTTAGAGCAATTTCAGAAATGTTTCTAAATTACAGCTCTCCACAAACTCCTGACCATGCATAAAGGAAGATACATGAATCATGGGACGCTGCTAAACTGCATCTTCATGCTTACAGTTCCTGTTTTACTTAGCAAGAAATCATAGGCATCAAAGTGGGTGACGTTCCCTTGCATCTCATTTTCCACAAAACAAATTCCTGCTAGCTGGCTAGTGCCCCTAGAACTCTTCAAGTCCCTTTCAAGTGCCTTCAGGTCCTCTGGTACTGTTAACTTGAGTATCTCTACATATATTTAGAGGCATAGTTTCTCTCTTACATATTCTTATGATGAAAGAATTCTGCTTACAAACCTCATCTGAACATGTAACAATGCAGAGCCAAATTGCTGTAATCTGCCAGGGCTATAATTATTGCCTGTCAGCTATAACCTTGGAGTTGGTGTGTTCTTATTATTATAATGAAAAAATCTTTATTATGCCTAAGTTATTTATTGTTATTTTTTTTAGACTGGAATATTAAATTGCTACTTGAACCGTATATTTGAACAGTTGTGGAGCTGTGAGTTTAGAGAATCTCATTTTTAACCTGGCATTTCAAAGATCAGTTTTTAATAGAAACAGCCCTCTCCCTTTTCTTAGGTCTTTTCCTCCTTTGGAGGCTAACTAGCTTGATTGATAAACAAAAACTTGGAACCCTTCAGAACAAGTCACTCTTGCATTATTTCTCCAGAGGGTATATAAGCTGTCATGTCCTTGAACTGCCAGTTCCTTCATGCTGGAAGAGTTGATGTACATATTTTGCCATCTGTCCTCTTCCCCAATATCTTCCTTCATAGTCCCGAAGAACGGATTGTAATTATGTCATGCTCCATCTTACCTTTCTATACACTTCGATTTCCAAGGGGCTACCTGAGCCCTTACAACACAAACATCTCGGGGCAGGGAATCCATTTTTTCAGTATTGGAGAGGGCTATGCACATCTATGAGTCAAAATCATAACTTTTAAATACAGTGCTGTAATACACATGTTAGTCCTTGTTATGGGAGGAATATTTTTAAAGTACTCACCCTTTTGTTCTGTATATGTGACAGACAGAATAGTTGGTGAACTGAGCACAGGCAGGAAATAGGCCTGTGTTCAGTTCACCCCATAAACATAGGGTCTGTTTATGACACTGCCTCTGACTGCCCCTCAGGTTTTGGGCAAGTCATTTAGCTGCTCAGTAGTTGCTTATGAGATGATACCCACATCCCAGAGTCATTGTAAGCGTACTAAGTGTTTTTACAACTGTTCATAGCATCAAGGGATTTCAGTTCTCTTAAGTTTTGATACCTAGCTTGAAGTGGCCAGGGTGTATTATTAGCCTTGATTATATATATATTATTTATATATATGGTGGTGGCTCATTTGCCCAATTTGTGGGTTTTGATGTGTTTTTATTTACTAATAAACTTTGAGAAAGGAATGTATCTAATCTGTACATTCTCTTTGCAGTGGCTTTAACCCATGATGTTTTAAAGAAGGCGAGAGGAAACCTAGAAGTAAGTAAAATCTGTTTACATTAAGTGCCCCATAGTATGTAACATGCTAGAGTAAATACATTTAATATAAATGACCATATTAGTAGTATATTTTGCAGCATTACTATCAGTTATTTTGTTTTTATTTCCCACTAGCCTGACATAAACATGAGGGATTGGTTACATTCATTTAATAAATGTTCTTTAATATTTAAGTTGCACATTATAATTAGTCTTAGAAAGATTAGATTTTGCCAGCACATGTCAATTTGTCTTTACGTTTTATAGTTATAAATCTTCAATGTTTCGAGTCTCAATATCTGCTGTCAATAAATTATTGATGACCCCTCAATTATTTCCAACAAATTAAATTGATAAAAAAATTAAAATGCTTAAAATAAGTAATATTATCTCTCAAAATTATAAAAAACATCATTTCAATTTCTTCCAATCCTACTTTTAATTTGTATTTGCTGGATTACTGGCTTAACCCTATCTCCTTGCTTATGCCTTCTGTAGTTTAGCGCTCCTATCTTTTTCCACCTCATCTGCTCCTTCATAAATTCTTGGACTGCACTGGAGACCATTTCTTATTTCAGAAGGTTGAGAGTGCTACTTGGGAAGACTCTGTTCTAGATTTGATTTTAAAAATAGAGAGGAACTGGTTGAAAATTTGAAAGTGGAAGGCTGCTTGAGTGAAAATGACCATGAAATCCTACAGTTCATAATTCTAATGAATGGTAACAGGGAGAACAGTAAAACAGAGACAGTGAATCTCAGGAAGGCAGATTTTAGTAAACTCAGAGAGCGGGTAGGGAAGATCCCATGGGAAGCAAGACTAAGAGGAAAAACAGCTGAAGACAATTGGCAGTTTTTCAAAGGGACATTATTAAGGGCCCAAAAGCAAGCGATTCCACTGCGTAGGAAAGATAGAAAGTATGGAAAGAGACTATTTTGGCTTAACCAGGAGATCTTACCTGATCTCAAAATCAAAAAAGAGCCATATAAAAAGAGGAAATGAGATCAAATTACAAAGAAAGAATATGAGCAAATAATGCAAGAATGCAGGGGCAAGATTAGATAGGCGAAGGCACAAAACAAGCTCAATTTAGCTAGAAACATAAAGGGTAACAAAAAAAATTCTACAAATATATTAGAAACAAGAGGAAGACCAACGGCAGGAGATATGGAGAAATTGGAGGAGGTCTAGAGAAGAGCAACAAAAATTATTAAAGGTCCAGAAAACTTGACCTATTAGGAAAGACTGAAAAAACTGAGCTTGTTTAGTTTTAGAAAAGAGAAGATTAAGAGGAGACATAACAATTTTCAAGTGTCAAAAAAGGTGTTACAAGGATGAGGGAGAAAAATTGTCCTCTAAGTGATGTCTCCATGGGGCTCCACTCCGGATGCTGGTGCATCCTCTCACTGGCGACCAGGGATTTTTCTAGCAGTGCCCTGCCGCACTACGCACATGTAGTAGCATCTCTTCGTGCCATTGGTGTCCTTTAGGCGTGCATGCGGTGTGGCGCCTCACTTCCTTCTCTACCATTCTCAGCAGCAGATGGCACTCCCTTTCAGTCACCCTTTTTCTATCTGAAGCAACAAAAAATTGTTAAATTCCCTCAGTTTTCTCAAACCCAAGTTATTTACTCCTTCCCTTCCTGTTTGTCCCAAAAAAAAGTCCTCGGGAAAAAAAAAACACCACAAAACCTCAGTTCTTCATTGTTCATCAGTTCAAAATGCCTGGCTCTCCAGGCTTCAAACACTGCAAATCCTGTAGAGAAGCCATGCCAGTGTCCCATGGCCACTCTTCTTGCATCAAATGCTTAGGAGAGGCATATATGGTGCAAAAGTGTTCATGCTTCTTGAACTTCACTGCCAGAACTAGATGGGACCACTCCAACAGGCTCAAAAAATGTTTGTATGAGAAGTCATTATAACCATCCCGCAACAATTCTCTTTCCAAAACCAAGGACATGGACAAGGCCAGAAATATGGACAAAAGTCATCCCTCTACGTCGTCGGACATGGCAAAAGCGAAAGTCCGTGTTTCTCTAACTAAATCGCTGCCTCTGGCACCAAGCTCATCTAGCTTAGGTGTAAAGCCCGGCACCTCAGGCCTGGCGCCACTTAAACAATTGGGGTGGTATAAGAGGGCCCACTCTGAGCCCAGACGTAAGTCCTCGGCACTATGCGCCACCATCCACCATGCTGAGCAAACATCATAGATTGGCACAGAAGACGGCACCTGACACAGCACCCAAGAGACCCTGCATCAACATGGGCCCTTAATACAGGTAGCCCCCAAGTTACAAACTCATCGATTTACGACCATTCATCCTTACAACCAACTTCCCATTAAGCGCATCCCCAAGTTATGAACGCGATCCGCGCTTACGAACAGCGCAGTCACATTTAAATTAATGGGGTCTGACTTAAGAACAGATCGAGTTACGACCAAGTGCTTGGTACGTAACTTGTTCATAAGTTGGGGACTATCTGTAATGTCCCTTTGAAAAACTGCCAGCTCTCTTCAGTTGTTTTTCTTCTTAGTCTTGTTTTCCATGGGACTTTACTTAAACTCAGAGAGCTGCTATCAAAATTGGTCTTCCTGAAATCCATTGTCTATATTTTGCTTTTCTCCCTTCTACCATTCCTTAGAATCACGAACTCTAGGATTTCATGGTCACTTTCACCCAAGCTGCCTTACACTTTCAAATTCTGAACCCGTCCCTCCCTATTTGTTAAAATCAAATCTAGAACAGCTTCCTTCTAGTAACTTTTTCAACCTTCTGAAATAAAAAATTATTTTCAAAGCAGTCCAAGAACTTATTGGATAGTCTGTGCCCTGCTGTGTTAGTTTCCCAACATATGTCTGGATAGTTGAAGTCCCCCATCACCACCTAATCCTGCATTTTGTTTTTTAGTAGTTGGCTTTGTTTTTTTAAATCTAGACACAGTGGGTAAAGCTTCTGCAAACAGGTATTTTCTAATACAATCTTTTAAATTAGTCTGAGTTTCTAAACAGTCTCCTTTTATAGTCTTAGAGCTGAAGAAAAGCTCTGTACAGCTTAAGAGCTTGTCTCTTACAAATAGCAGTTGGTCCAATAAAAAATATTACCTCACCTGCCTGGTGTGTCTAATACTGGCTGCCACACCACAAACAGTTCTTGAATTTTCTTCAAGCACATTTAGGGTGTGTCTAGACTACAGGGTTTTGTTGACAAAAGTGGACTTTTGTCCACAAAACTATACCTGCGTTTACACTGCCGCTGAGTTCTGTCAACATAACATCAACAGAACTCAGCAGTTTTGCTGACGGCTGTAAACCTCATTCTACGAGGAATAACGCCATTTGTCGACAGAGTTCTGTCGACAGAAGGCATTATTGCATCTACACTGTCCTTTGCGTCTACACTGTCATGTCGACAAAGAGTCTTGCTTTGTCGACAGAACTGGATGTAGTCTAGACGCTCTTTATCGACAGAAGCTTTGTCGACAGTATCTGTCGACAAAACTTCTGTCGACAAAAGCCTGTAGTCTAGACATACCCTTAGACTTCACACCCTCGAGACCATAGCATACTAACTTTCCTGTCTGTCCTACCCTTTCCATTCACGCTGCCCTTTAATGACACCCCTGGCTTGTAACCAGTTCCCACTTTCTCCACCAACTCCCCTAAATCCTTTTACAACTCTTGTCTTTTATGAATCATTCCTCCATTAGCCTCCTCATCAATGATTTCTCAAAGCTTTTTCTTATTTTGATACTACACAATTATCTCAACCTTGCCTGGGTGAGAACCTAATCATGCAAAAGAATCCTTATTGCTACAAGGAATCATATGTTCAGCCAGTCTTCATGCAAAAGTAAAAGCCTGTGCTTGCAAATGGTCCTTTTGCAGGATCAGGACCCTAGTGTATAAGATATGTGTATTTGAGAGCTTTTCTCGATTTTATGACATTTATTAATAAGTGCTTTTCATACCAGGTTCAGCCAAGTGAAAATCAAAAAGCAGCTTCACATACCAACAAGAAAAGGATTCTGTGAAGGAGAAAGTTCCACTAATAAAGCCTGTTCCTTCATGTGATCGTTGTGTGTAGGCGTCTTTACAGTTTAAGCCTTAATATTGCTTGGGTTAAAGGGTTCTTTGACACTTGAATAGTTGATAACCTTTGACAAAACTCTTGTGAAATAACTTATTTAGCATTTTATATTGACAAATGACTAATTTTGAATATTTATTATATAAACCGGTACTGGAGGGATTGAAAAGAAGAGCAGAAAGTGTTTCACATGGGTTCATCTTAAATTTTCTACTTTTTTGCTATGCTGTATTTTTTTTTTTTTTAGATAGATTCATTCTGTTTCTTCTTGTGGTACAATATTTCCTAGTGCCTAAAAGACTTAGTCAAAGCAATTATCCACTTTCAACTTCTTTTACAATGGATACTTGCAGTACGTTAATAGTTTTTCTTTAGGTCTGTGTTGCATCATTGGATTTTAGGACTGTGGGAAGCTTTCAGTATTTTAAAGCATTGTCAATATGTGCATGAAGGATTTTGCTGAGAGCTACCTGATGTGTAGCTAACTTCTACAGTAGCAATTAGAATCTGATGGTAGGTCTGAAAATGTGAATTAAAATCTGGCATTTGTTAAACCTGTTCATGTTAATTATTTTGTTTGACACTCCAGAGATTTCTGAGCACTGTCTAAACATAGACCACCTGTAGCCAAAGTCTTCAGTTGTTTGGCTGGTTCATTTGTTTTCTCTGAAGAAATATGGATGCATTTCTGCCCCTCTGTTGTTCAGTGATCACTCAGAAAAGGAGTTTGACAGAGATCTTCATTAAATTCCAACTCCCTCTGCATTATGGTAACACAACCCACTTAAAAAGTATACTTCTTCAAGTGGCTATCTGAGTGGAAAACACATGTGGGTGCCTTGTAGATCAAAGTCACGGGATTTTGCCCAAGTATCAGAGGGGTAGCCGTGTTAGACTGAATCTGCAAAAGTGGCAAGGAATCCTGTGGCACCTTATAGACTAACTGAAGTGTTGGAGCATAAGCTTTCGTGGGCAAAGACCCACTTCATCAGATGCATGATTTTGCTTGGCACTGGCTGTAGGGGCAGCACTCATGCCCTCCGGCACAGCAGCGCCTCTCCTGGACAGCGCTGCCCCAGCTCTCCTCTCTATTCCTTCTTCA